GCACAAGGTATGTAGATTTTTTTAAAATTTTATATAGGCGATTAGATTTTCGGCTCGGTCCATTCGTCTTTTCCGGTTTTAGATTCGAATTTTGATCTGATTCCGGATTCGGCTTCAAAAAATGTGAAGGCTTGGTATAGACAAAGATTCCATAGCAAGTCGCCAAATATCCCTGCGTAACGTCCGGGGGATCCTTGTGTGTTTCATTCGAGGCGTCAAGGTTTCATGGACGCATGTCACACTCCTCGGTCTTGCTTGGACTCAAATTCTTAGAAGCGCACCCCATCTATATAGACTACTTAACTTCTGTAAAGAGCCAACTCAATTTAATAAAAACACTTTATCTAATGTGCTTTCTGTGTGTTTTTTTTTTCTTTAAAATTAAAGCTTAATCTTTAGAGTAATTAATTATAAGTACTAATGATGATTTGATTTACAGGGATATAGTACAAAATATATGTTGTAATAACGGCAAAAGAAAATAAAGCAAAAATAAAACACTGAGTTGTGAGCGTGATGTCTTTTAACTACGCACATTGAGTGACATTTGAGTGTCGCATCGGTGTGTTCGTTAGCCAATAAAACACAAATAATTAACTCATTTTATTTCAGGTGCGTCGGAAATCAATAAGTTTACCTTTTTCGGACTCTTGCGCCATTTTTTTCTCGGGTTAATGGACGCACATTTTTTTGGGCGCGCCCTCTCAAGATGGCTTCTTTTTTAAAACTTGGATGCGTTCTTGAAGAAACGTATGGCACTACCTATTTGGAAGTCGCACGTGAGGTGCTGAAGGAAGGGAAGGAACTTTAATATCAAGGTTAATGTGATTGAATTGTTCGTAATTAAAATTTGATGAAAAATAAAGTTTAACAAACGAAAGGTATATCAATAGCTTGTTTGTTTGTTTGTTTTCTTTTCTCATTCAACAATTAAACCAACACTAAGTGAGAGGATGTTGTAACGGAGTTGCTTCTCAGGAAAAAGAAATAAATTATGACCAACATAATGCCGCTTCACCATTGTATTCTTTCTTTAAACAGCCGATAATAAATACTTTAAAAAAATTCTATTTCAGGAACATCAGACTTCGTTTTTTAAACCTCTTTTTGCTCGAACATCGCCTCCTCGAAGACGTTTTTTTGGGCGCGCCCTCTGAAGACCGACCACAGCAAACTGAATGCATTTGACGTATACTTTCTAAAAGTTAATTTGGAAGTTTTTTTGGAAACCCCAAGACACTTCGCCTGCCGCCGGTCAATATATTCAAATAACTGCTCCAGAAAAACGTTTTTTCTTAACATTCGTCTGGGGTAGAGGAATGGCGAGTTTTCTGTTGGTGTCTCTTAAAAAGTAATAAGAGATATTGCAACGATCTGCCATTGCTACGAGCTACTATGCACTTTACAAGGCCCCTCAAGGTACTTAAGCTATATGACGCATAGTCTGCGATACATCCGCCTCTCACCGCTCTTTGACGAAATGTCCCTAGCGGCAGATAGCGTTGAGAGGAAGCTGTATCGCAGGCTTTTGGACACAAGGCTTTTCTACTAGTTATATGGGTAAACCGGTCGATTCACAGTTCGGGCAAATGGTGAACAGAATTCAGGACTGATGAATTTTGATTCCGTTCGGTAATCGCGTTTACCATTTGCCTAAGTCAGTTTCGTTTGACGAAAAACGGCTCGAAAGCCCAAAACTAATATTCAAAAAAGGTTTGAAGACATGAAATCCGAATTTCCGCCTGAAATTTTCCAACCAGGAAAATAGCCGAATGCCTTTTCAGACGTTCCGTTTGTTTCAGGAATTTTCCAATGAAACGTCGAAAACAACCCGAAATTGAGTTAATGGTAAGCCTGGCAAAGCACCAAAGTGTCCTCTTAGTTTGTTTTAATGGGTCATATATAGAGTTGTGTAGTAGCTTCATGATTCATTCACGATTTTAAACCAGTATATAGGCTCCTCTTTCCACGTAGCTTTTTTTCAGTTTTGAGAGCCCACAAAGGTAAAAACTTCGAAATGAACTATTGCAACAATACTTTGTCGAAAATATTTAATTGCTTCAAGGAACTTAGTTTTTATGAACAAAATGGCATTGTTTGGCCATGATTTAATTCGTAGATATCCCGCAATGCAAAAATTCATTCAGTAAACAGGTTTAGTTTTTAGATTTTTTAATGTTTATATACCATTTTTTGAGGGAAATGGCCAGTCTGAAACTAAATGCAAGTTTGTGACGCTATCCCGGGGACGCTATATGTTGTATTTGAAGAAAATGCTGCAATCAATGAGAATAATAGGTTTACTGAAAGATTTAATTTTTAACCACTGGAATGTCGCGATTTTCCCGAAAATTAGAACTCGAGGTCTTGCGGGCTACTCAAAATCGTTTGCCCAGAGATTTGTTTCGATTTTCTGATAGATTTTGACAAGTTATAGCGCATTGTAAAAATTTGCATTTTTTATCCCTATAATTTTAGCAATGCCTTTTTGAGGGCCAAAAAAATTATCACAGCTTTCACAAATTTATTGTCTTATAAGAAAGAAAGGGTCATAAAAACCATTCGTGTTCTTCAAAGGCTTCCAAATGGTTGTGGTTTGACGTATGAGTCAATGAAATTTGTGCAAAACTTCGCTTTAAAGGAAGTGGATTTTAAGCTCTAAAAGGCCTTAATGAGTTTTCTCGAATTTTAACAAAAGAACACGTTATTTGAGAAAACTAACTACGGCATGTTTCATTACTCATTAATGGTTATCGATGAGCCAAAAATGAGCGAAATCAAATTTTGATTTTGTGCCGACCGTGGGTCGATATTTAAGGAAAGCCGCTCTTAAGCGTGCATCCAGCTACTCAGAAGTTAACTACCATGCACTTTCCATGTACACTCGGCATTTTAAATAACACCAATGACGTACAGGAAGATACTGTTCATTTGCTACTTTAGATCAATAGAAACGAGAGGGGAACTGGAGCAGAAATGCGTCCCGAAATTGTTTCTGGTATCGTTACCGCCGGACAGCTGTTAGCTCATTTTTCCCCAGAAGTCTTGATTTCCGTACGTTGGCTCGAACCAGATTTCTTTTTGTTTCTAAAGTGGCGAATTGAATGGGCACACTTTAGGATCCGATTTCATTAACAGACTCTTAAGAACCACCTTGTACAGCAAAGAGCCATCTTGACTATAATTCTTTTGACATATTTTATTTCGGTTGCTGATAATGACATTCAAGAAGAACCTGAGCTTGTCTGCAAACATGGAATACCCTTAAACGGAGCGATCGGAGATTCCCACTAAGTGAATTGCGTGAAATGTGAAAGACCATTTTCCAGAGGAGGACGGGCATTAGCGGGGATGCTCGCTTTTCGACGAGCTGAATCAAAACGACGAAAGAATAAGAGGATTTCAAACACGCAAAGGCTTTCCGAAGAGCAAGACAAACGCAAGAGAATAGAGGAAGAGTATGATGACGCTCTTTTCCTATTCGCTGAAAAACATCCAAGCAATTGAAAAATCTTCAAGCATTTGTGAGTTAGAGTGAGGCTGGAGCGATGAAGATACTAGTCCTCTTGTATGGCGGGTCTAGAGCCAACAGAGAAAGTGCAAAAGCCACAAAGCACAGATTACCCACTGTAATTGGGTGGGAATGGTTGGGTGTGGTATTGTGAGGGTCACAGGTTTAACAGTATCACGAAACAACCGTGTATTGGCACGCTTTATAGCCAAAAGGGAAGGTGCAAAAGCCACACAGTACAGATTACCCACTGTTATTTGGAAGGAATAGTTAGGTGTGGTAGTGTGAATCATAGGTTTACCAGTATCAGGAATCTAACGCGTCTTAGCCTTAAAGGGTGATTGCTGACGAGAAGATAACAAGACAAATGCAAACGCTGCAGATGAGTACCGATCTCATGTTGCAATTGGTTTTTGCTGGCGGCCGGTAGTAATGTAAGGGTTTACCACTCTTTCTTAATTTACGCGCCGGATCTAGAGACACAAAACCGTCAAAACAGCACAGAGTCGATTTCTTGTAAGGGTATTGGCCTTGTCAGGTTGCGGGTGAGACTGGGTACTACGAGACCGTTTGAGGAGGCTGGCGCTTCTTTTATTGGCTAAAACAAGTATTAACATCAAAACAATCCATAGTGCAATTCAACAAATCACCACCCACGCCCCAGTCCCAGGCAAAACCTTACAAATGTTCATAGGCTAGTGGCCTGTGGTGATGCGAAGATCACAGGTTTACCAATTGAAGCTCGCTTAACGACGTACAGCCGGCATCGCTTACTTAGACAACGGTAGCGTTTTATAAAGGTCAAGAATCTTTAATTGAACAAAGATATGTACATCAAATAGTAATTAAGGATTCTGGACACTCAGTTTGTAAATGAATATAAATAAGAATTGTTAGTTTCTATTTTACATAATATTTTCAAGGCCTTCTAGCATATACGTATATAATTGCTATGGTGTCTAGTATACACGATAAAAAAATGTACAGAGAACACTGAGAGAACTGAAATATAAAGTATTTTCAATTCAGGGCAAGTGTGTTTTAACCAGGCCCTTATACTACGTTATTGACCTTTTCATTTTCCCTGCAGCGTCGTCGGAGGCGGACCTAGGCATAGAGTGTAACAACCAAAAAGGTCAGGGCTAAGAGTAAAATATCGAAATATTCCTGGAAAAGAGACTTTTTTAGCTGAACTTTGGGATTACTTGCCCTAGTCCCTGCCCTATGAGTTTTCTCTACACTGCCATGTCTGTCCAGGAGACCCCGAGAAGCAAGCTTCGTTTAATGAACAGGGGACTAATAGTTTTAATGGCTAAAAGAAGGCGGCGGTTACCACACCAAAATGACGATGGCTCAAGCACAAGCACGACACAATAAATACTGAGAAATCTCATCCTTGTCAGTCATCCTCGCCTTAATAATAACTCATATTGGATGCTATTTTAATTTGACTAGATTTAAAGACAATAAATACTGACAATAAGTGACTTACGGTTTTGATAATGTGATCTATCGCAATGTTAGCAGCCACCAATAGGTTTTTACTTGATTCAGGATCAAGATTAGCCTGCGAGTAAGCTCTCACTCTCTTGAGGCCATGAAGGTTATGGTTCAACCAGAACCTTTTAACCAATTTCATAACCAACCAATCATGACCCTCGCTCCCAGGCTGCTTTGTGATTGGCTTACTTATTCCTGTCTTGATGGCTAACTAGTCCCTGCTACAAAAATCTGGTCAGGAATATTATTGTTTTCGGTATTTTTAGAAAACTACAGGATATTCCAGTGATTTGACTTTGATTTTGGTGAATTCTCTCAAAATTTGCTATTTGTTTGCCTGTTACAGAAAGCTCGCAACTTCGGAAGTTTCGAAAAATGTTATCCTGAACATTTTGTTTTTATTTTGCTTTTTTCTTCGTTTAATTTGTTGTTTTGATGTCCCCTTCAGTATCGGTCAGCCTCGTTCATACATCATTCCTTGCATATCTGTCGATGATTTTAAGATGGCGCTCTCATCTAAAGACCTATCGGAGCACGAACGAATTTTACACCACACGTTACCAATTTTAATAAATATCATAGGATTTTTAGACATTTTATGCCAATTTAGACAATTTTCCTTCGCAGAGCATATGGCTTGTCGCTAAGTTTGGTGGTTAACGTGCTTTGCTTGAAAAACCTTTCTCAAGTCGAGTAGCATGTCCCTAATTAGTTTTTGAAGAGTAAAAGAATCGCGTAATTTTGTAATCTT